AATGCTCTGGTTTTCCCTCAGCTTCTTCACACAGAGTAGACAGTGTGTCTCTTTCACTGTTTAAATAGTACATGCTTTTGGTACAGTATGAGCTGGAGTTGTTTGCAGAACAGTTTTTTACCCTGACTGTCTGTTTTAGTTATCCACAGGATAAGAGACCTGTCCATATTGATCGAGCCAGATTATTCAGGTATAAGTGTTGTCTCTATTCTGTGGGGTTTGTCTATATAAATCTATGTATATGCAAGCAGTTGTGAGTTTAAGGAAATAATTAAATAATTTTTAAGGGGACCTAGTCTATAAACTTTGTGAAATCTGTGAATGACCTACATTTAGGATATATGTGTAACATTCCCATGATTTTTTTTTTCTGTTTTATAACAGCATGCATACGGGACTGCGGGTGGTGAATCATTTACATGCCATTTATCTAAGTTTATTTCTCTGGTGGATAGGAATATTTGAAAAGTACGTTCATTTTATTCATAGGTGGTCCCAAGTGAACGAAAATCTGTTTGCAACAACTGGATATCCAGGAAAGGCAACTACTCAACTGCTTGTTCATCATTTAGGACATCCCCAGGTAAATTTCTGAGTTCACCTTTTGACTGGAATTGCATCTGTTCTCTTCAAATCAGGCTCGTAAATAGTTAAAAGCTACAATTAAAACCTAGTCCAAACCATCTGGAGATGCTGCTTGGTCTACCTGTTTTATTTTCGTTTGTGTCATCCATGCTAGGGGGGAAAAAAAAATCACACCATGCTTAACCTGCTATTTTAAAAGCTGCTTGATCCACATGTTTTATTTTGTTTTCCCTTACCAGTGCTAACGGGGGCGGGGGGAGACATGTAACCTGTTATTTAATAAATTTTTCAGTATTTCTAATTCTAAAGAGGCTAAAAACAGCTGGTTGTGTATTTTACAGGTTTGTACTAATTATATTTTAAATCATTAATGAAAATATATCCAGAGATAATGAACACTAAGCATAGGAAATATTTTCGTTTTGCTGGAGTTAGTACGCATTTGAAACGCTTACAGTAAAAATGCTACCTCCAAACATACTAGTTGTGAATATGCTTAAATAACAGGAAGTAATTTCATTAAAAAAGGTTTCTAAGTTTGAAAATATGCCTTTAAAATAATAATAATAATGTTAATAATAATGAAAATAGTTGAAACAATTTGTTATCCTGGAGTATTTTGCTGTATCTTTCTTAAATGTAGTAAGTAGCTACTGGAACTAAGTAGCAGATAATCAGATTTTTATCAGTTGGACTTCTGTTGTATTTTAACTGTATTTGTTAAGGAGTACTGAATCTGTGGTATTTGTCTATGCAACTTGGTATACGTGGTATAGAAATCATTTATATGGTAAGTTGTATTGATGTTTCTCTTTTTTTCTTTTTTTTTAAAGCCCATTCTTACTGGCACTGCAGCTGTAGGATCTGGTTTGACATGGCATAGAACTCTTCCATTATGTGCAGTCGGAGGAGATCATAAAATTTTCTTCTGGGTAACTGAAATGTAAAATAAGCATTTGCCTTCAATATGAAACTTTACAGCATATGTCTCTTTTTAGTAAAATGAATAAATTTATTCTTTGTACTGGTATTAATTCACTTGGAGAGCATAAGAAAGGAGCAAGCAAAATATGAAACATTTGGGTTTGTGTTTTAGCTTGCAAATACACAAGCTTTTGTGTAAAATCTGTTATCATATATCTGATACTTGGTTACTTCCCTTAAAATAAAATGTACACTTTTTTAACATGCAATTTGCTGTGAAATGAATTTTTAGAAGTGTTTTTTAAAGAGATTTTGTATACAGCAATCTGTGTGGCAATCTCACTCAGTTAATAGAGCTCAAATTCTTCCAGAGTACCTACAGAAAGAACACTTGTCTCTGTATTAACTTCCCTGACCATCACTCTCTTATAAGAAAGAAATGCAATAATGTACTGTCATAAAATGTTGCCTATGAATGTATTTGCTGAATAAACCAGTTACTACTAACAGTGAAGAAGATAATGGTAAAATCAGAATGATAATTTTAAGAAGTATTATTTCTCTTAAGATGACAGAGGGATTTACTTCAAGTATGCCAAACAACGTTTGGGTTTTTTCTGTTTACAGCCTTTTACTTCCAGCCTTTTACAGTAAAATCAAAGACATTCTGCTTTCTAGAAGCATATTTTTCTTGTCCCTCTCATACAAGACCCAGAACTGAAGTAAAAGAGGAAAGAGTAAAAGGCACAGACAATTCCTGTCTTCAGTATCCTTTTTGCATGCTTTTGCAAGTGAAGTGATACCAAGATGTGCAGCTAGTGCAGCAACTCTTTACAGCATCGTAGCCATCCTTATTAGCAGTAGTCAGATTTTAAAATATTCTTTTGTTTGTCCTTATTTATGCTGGACACATAACAACTAATTCAGAATTAGCACAGCAAAAACTGAGATTACAGTCACCTTTTAAAAAGTAAGACCATATTTTATTTGTCATCATTTCTTATTCTTGAGAAATTTTGCTTTCCAACTGCCACCAAAATTAACCTGGAAGATGAATATAAAGTTCCTCATACATTCCAGTCTTGACTGGTGTGTGCTTAAACTATAAAGTAAGCAGACTGGAGGATGTTTCAAGATACAGATCTTTGTTCATCTTGTATCCATAGCCTGACCAGAGAGTACAAGCTTAACGGGAGGTTTAACTGGCCTGTAGACACAGCTAAAAATCTTTGCGGGTCTGAGAGGAAGGATTGGGTTGGGGCACTGCTGTCTTTCTGCATATGTAGTGAAACTGAAACAGGTTTTGTTTTGGGTTTTTTCCTGTCCACTCTCAGATCAAAGCTTTACATAGCACCTAGCTATGCAGAATATCATACAGTATACTCGGTACCCATATTGACAAAGGCAATTTGCGTTAGGTATGTGCAGGTGCATTTTGACTGAGACTTTTTTATTTAGAATTGCTTAATACCCAACAGGGCAGAGGGCAGAAATTCTTTTGTTCTGTAGTTAATTCAGAAGCCAGGATGTTTGGTTTTAATACTCTAAGGACAACTTAAAAGTATTTACCAAGGATTGGAATGATCTTGCCAAGTTCAAGGTTCTTTGTATTACTACTTTCCAGTACAAAATGGCTATTTAGGAAAAAAAAGAGCAGCTAATGTTTTTAGCATGTTCCCCATGTTCTTCTGTACAGAACAAAATAATTAGTTAATCCTCTTATGTTGCCTTAGGACAATACTTGGAAGATTGAAATTCAGAGAGCCATTTTCAGAGAACTGCAAGCCATTTATCATTTAATTTCCTTTTTTTTTTTTTTTTAAAATGAACCTACATAACACCTGACATTTGTATTTCTCAGTCTATTTAACTGTCAAGGGTTGATAATTCTCTCAACCTTCTGTTTGCTAAATTTGTACATATTCTGACATACCTAGATTGAGATAGACTTTTTTTTTAAATTCAGTTGAAGGAAAAATCATTGAGGCAATATCAGTTTCATATAGAAAGTTTTGCCAGAATACCCTTTGCAAGCATGGATTTAGAAGACTCCATGGGAAATAAAAAAAATGTTAATCCACACTCTGACCTTTTCAGCTGTTCATTGGACCACCTTAGTAAAAGCAACTATTGCCCCTGTGGAGGATCAGGTGACACCATGTCTGGAAATTTTTTTGGATCAGCTTTTTGTTTCTGTTTAACTTGCCTCTCAGTTGTATAGCTATTTGAGTTCTGTGCTGATTCTAACAGAATATTGTGTCTTGGGACCTGTAACAGTATATAAGCATACAAAATGCATAGGAATGTTGTAAGTTACAGTAGCACTTGCCAGTCTTTTTCAGCTTGTGCAGTTTTGTTTTGCAATTGACTAGAGGCTCTCATTTTGTGCAATATAAAAATATATGTAGCAGATCAGTTTCAGTGCTTTTAAATCCATGCTGTTGCCTTTACTTTTTAGTGTATAGTAATCACAAGACAAAATATTTTTTACTAATGATGAAGACAAAGCTTTGATCAATTTTCTGTACACACAGCTTTTGTACTCCAAGTTTGCCTGCGCATCTCTAAGGTTAACATCTTCAAAATATTAATGCTCAACTGAACTGCATTTCAGTAACTGTTAAACAGTCTAATTTTGCCTTCACTGAAAGGTGGAGCTACATGACTGTGTCTTTAAATGCCTGCATCTATATGTACACGTACATAGGGTATAAACTGCCAGCAGTTACATACTGTACAGTATTTATTCCTTAATTTGGCATTTATCATCCAGTATATGTACTGGTACAAAATACATTTTCAAGTCCTACACAGTGTAAATGTGGATATTATCACTGAATTATTTTTTTTATAAATCCTCCCACTGGGGGCTCAGTCATTAATAGTTCCAGTTTAACAAACCAGTTCAATTAAAACATTTTTAAGAGGTTCTAGAAGAATTTGGATCATTTTCTTCTACTCTGTTTTTCACTTTTCATACCCTGCATTTCCTAATTCCAGCTGGGAGAAAAAGTGCTGTGTTGCACTTTTCTATGCAGTATTTTTGGCCAAATTAAAAGCAGGAAGTACCAGAAAGTTCACAGAAGAGCATATTCTTGTGAGATTTCTTGTCCAGCTTTACAGACCAAGATATTCAGGTAAGATTTGACTAAGCATTTACATTATTAAATTTCTGTGGTGTTGCCTGGAAAAGCTTGTATTATGGATGTTTTATGGTAACAGAGATTAATTCTTCTTGAATATAACTTAGGGTTTTTTGGGGGGTAATTAAGGTGGCAAGATAATTCACTTAGATAATTTAAACAAAGAGCTCCTTTGCCCAACAAAAATTTGCACAATTCCTATAAGATAGATTAAACCTACTGAACTTTGTAGGTCAACACCTTGTCCTTCCTTTGGAAGATGTGAGAAATTGCCAACTACATGTCATTGCTCCAAACCATAGTATGAAACACAGGTTGTTCAATAATTCAAACAGTATGGGCAAAAAGACTTTCTATAGTATTTTAGTAAGAGAATACTAATTATGTGCATATGACAGCAGGTTAGTAAGAAATACTGTGAAAGTAATCAAAGAAAAGCTGCTTCAGTACATAAATGAAAATTTATATAAACTTGAATAACAGATCTAAGTGATCTGTGTCCAGTTACCATGGATTCTGTATATAAGTTTGTAGAATGTGTAACAAACTTTAATAATTTGGAAGTAAACTGAGAATTTTGTTAAATTTTAAACCAAAATTAGCATAGCACATTTGGGTTCTAATCTTCAAGGTATTGAAGTAATTAGTGCATCTTAATTAATCTCATCACATGAGAAGCTTCCTAATGATAGCCTCAGACTATGGTAGATTCTTAACTGCTCTAAATTTAGATAGTTTTTTTATTAAATGTAGCAGTATTCATGTAATCATGAAGAATTTTCACCAAATATTTTCTCTACTACACTCTACATGGATTCACTGCTGTAAACAAGAACGCCAAATCACCCCAATTTTTCTTTCCTTCCAGTATTACACAATCTTAGAATTGTGTTAAGACAGGTTGAGCTGTTGGTAATCGTTTGTTTCAATCTTACAACAAACATAGCACACATCATCATTCTAGGATTTTTTTGTTCCTTAGCCTAGATTCTCCAAAACTTAGCCGAGATATCAGGACTGGGAATTCAGTGTTCAGTTTGACATCCCATCCCTTTTCCAAAGGATAGTTTCTTTTCCGAATAGATTATTCCTGGCTAACATGAAAATAAATTGTGAGAGCCAATGATAGTTTTCATAGAATAAACCAATAGATGCAATTTCCATATACTGTTCAAGTTGGCGATTAGTTATAAATGCAAGCGTGCATAATGCTCTGTCTGGAGCCATGTTTTCGGGGATTTAGAGGTAATTTCTTATCTTTCATTCGTAGTTAATCAGCTTGGGGGTTAGAGGCATGATCTATATGCCGTTGCTGTTCCTGACTCTCCATAGAGGCAACATGTCCTCAGATGTTTAATGACTTGTTCTTTAATGGCTTTGATCCCAATCAGTTGTCTGGCCAGCCCAAAGAATAGATGTCTTGGCTCACAGAAGACCTGTTGAAGATGCAGAAACCAGATTATTTAATATTATACAAGATGAGGTCAAACATACTTTCTGTTCAGCTCACAACCTCTTGTACATAACTGTTTATTACTGTAGATATCACATGCAAAATTTTATTAGCACAGATGGTAGACAAATTGGCAGTACCAGGAGTTCAGGTCCCATTCCTAAGCTTTCACTGTGCCTATTGGTTTCAGCCAGTAATGCTCAACCAAGCACAACATAAAAGATCAGGTGTGTCCAGCAAAGAAGTATTTCTGTTGCTGTTCTCCTGAAATGTCATGGGTCAAGGTGCATGAGGTAGCAGTTATCTGTATTTTTGCTACCAAAGCCAGCAAGGTCTTACTCTGTAATCCTGCTCACCAGACTGGGGTGTTCAATACACACTTTGGTTGATTTAATTCAACTCTTGAATAAAGCAGAAAACAAACCCTCCTCTAACACTAGTTTTCCATCCAGATGGCAATTTGAACTGCCTTAAGGAAGGGATCACCATGTGCTATAACTGACAAATGGTAAAATGAGCGCACGTAGCCATCAGTGGGGAGCGAGCGAGGAAACTCTTTCTGATAATGCAATCCATTAGAGGGGTTCAACCCGTCTTTGTAGTGGGATCACACTTCTCAATAGTCTGATCAATCCTTTGAATCTGTCATGGAGAAAAATAATACAAGCA